TCCTACTTCGCAGCTTAACTGGAGAGGGTGCGGGGAGGGAGCTATTTCTAAACCCAGACAGGTTTTGTCTGATCTCGTTGCTGTCTTACAAAATCTCAGACGCAAGACAGGGGTCCTGCGCAGACCCAAGCTGCACTCTGGATCACACACCTGGAAACTATTTTGTGACACCTCCGAGCACCTTACAACGCCAAGGATGCAGTGTGGGGTGTGGGGAGCGCCCCCACGAGGTGGCAGGTACCCCCACAGCTGCCACCCCTCTTCAGCTATGAAGCCAGCTCTGGGCAGTGGGCAGCCTGCAGCGTCGGGCTCTGCAACTCTTCCCTTTTCTTCTCGACTTGACATGCCTGCGCAGTGCCTGGCTTTTGCCTTGAGAGGTGCCGCAGGGCCCTGCCTGGCGACAGCGAGGCTCATCCCCAGGAGGTGGGGGCAGGGCTGCGCAGCTGCCCAGGACGGTCTGGTCAGGAGGTCGCTGGCCTGAACTCGGAAGTCCTGTCTCCTCCCTCCGCCTGTGAAGTAAACTGCGCCTGAGCTCTGCTGATTAGCTCGGCTCAAAAGACAGCTCAACTCCATTTCCACCCAGTTACAGAAACCTGGGAGCAGCTTCCTCCCTCACCCCCAACCACCATTCCCTTCCTTTGGCCTTGAACACGGTTGGGCAGGTACAGTATCTGTGGGTTTCACAGGCTGGGGCTTCTTTCCCCCATCTGTGAATGTTCTGGGATCTGCTGAGCACCAGGAAGCATTATTAAGCAGCCCATGAACTGTGCATCTCAAGCATTCACCACAGAAAAGGAAAAACAAAAGTCCTAATTTAAATGTTTTAAGTTTTCAGGGGAAAAAGTGCTGAGGGTAGTCTGTTCTCTTAAATTACATTTCATTTTTCCTGATCCTTCCATTCTTTTAATTGGCTTTCCTTGTGCTCTGTAGTGCTTTTCTAGATATTTGAACAGAACTTTCAATGATGATGCCAGAGAACAGCTAGGACTTATACCGGCAGCAGGGAAAAGAATAGAGCTCCCCCCAGCCCTGCTCCCACAGCCAGCACCCCAGAAGACAGCCATAAACCAACTGGGCACTCAAGGACAGCCACTGAAGGGGCCCTGGATCATTTACCCCTTTCTTTGCCATGCCTCCGTCTTCTCATCTGTGAAATAAGGCCACACTAGGTAAATCTTTTTTAAAGATTTATTTTTTTAAAGATTTATTCATTTATGCATGCAGAACTGGGGTACAGGCCAGAGGTACAGGGGCAGTGAAAGGATTCACCAGAGGCAGAGCGGGGAGCAGAACAGGCAGATCAATGAAGTACACTGCTGAGGGGAGCAGTGGGCGGGTCAGGAGAGCTCAGCCACACCATGTGGGTCACCTCCCTGGTCGGGGATCCAACCAATGCTGAAGCAGCTGCAGCGAGCTTCATGGTGCTGCACTTTAAGCTGTTGTGCCACCAGGGAGGGCCCTTAAAATTTTATTTTATTTATGTATACAAGAGCTGGGGTGTAGATCAGAGGTGCAGGGGTGGTGAGAGGATTCACCAGAGACAGAGTGGGGAGCAGAACAGGCAGATCTACTGAAATACACTGCTCCGGGGAGCAGCGGAAGAGACAGGCGAGGTCTGCTGGGCGCTGTGGGTCACTTCTGGGGCGGGGATCGAACTCATGCTGCAGTGGCTGTGGACAGCTTCACAGTGCTGAGACCTAAACCCTGAGCCACCAGGGTGACCCCTAACCTAGAAAAAGCTGTAATGCCATCCAACTCAAGAGTTCTGTGATTCTGAAACTTGCTCAAACCAGGAAATCTCCCACCTCTGCTCAGCTCTGGGTCCGAGAGCTCTGTACCTCACTGGCTCCCTCCTGGGGAGCCCCGCTGGGCATCTCGTGGTTGTGCCCCACAACTAAGGCCGCCCTGCGCTGAAAGAGCCACTTCTCACCAGGCTGCAGAAAGTGCTAATGCTGGGCTCTTAACACCAGGGACCAAAAGGCAAATTTTCTCCTTGGAAGAGAACACATAATCCTGTGTGAGTCAGACCGGCTGATGCTTTGCACCTTCTTAATGTCTCCTGTGCGTCTTTTTCTCTCATATTAAAAAAATTTAAAAAAAATTCAGCTCTTATCTTCACTTTCGAGGATATTAAAACACAAGACTTGGCAGCCACAGCAGACTACACCACGGAGAGAAGAGAAGGGGCAGAACTCAGGGCCACACAGATTCTGGGGTGCCTCCATTCGCTCCCCACCCAGCCGACCTGCAGGGAAGCTCTCAGCCCCGCTCAGGATCAGTGAGTTGGGTGACCACATTTCCACCACACAACCAGGGTGTGAAGTAACAGGCATTCGCAATCTGGAGCAGACAGAAACCAACACTTCCCGTACCCTGGACCAGCCTCTGCAACCCGGACAGAAGCCACCCACGAATGTGCTGTCACCCCACAAGGTCACAGGCGGGGCTGACATGTGGGCTGAGAGCCCCTGGTTGGTCTCTCTCTGCCCGGCTGTTCTCCAACTCCTCTGCTATAATCCCCTCCCCACCCCTCCTCTGAAAATCCACACAGGCTGGGCCACACTAGTCCCCCTCTGTAGCGAGATGATCCAACCCCCACTGGGACTTTGAAAGCAAAGTGACAACAGAGGGATGTTTTTGGGACACGCCCACTTCTAATTCCACACCCACATACACCTACAGACATACTGTCCTCTCAAGGCCAGACTTCCCAAAGTGAACGTGGCCTACGGGAACGTCCTCCCAAACGGTCCCTCAGGGGCCCTCCAGAGTCTTAAAGTCCCCCCAGCCAATCATGTGTGGGGAGTCTTTCTCCACATCGCCCCCCACATGCCTCACCGCCCTTCCAGGCTTAAAGCCTCTGACTCGTGCCCCAATGTGCCTCCAGGAGATCCCCCCAGGCCACCCCCGTCTCTTCGGGCCCCCAGCCCCAGCCCTGCCCTGCAGAGTGGGCGTCTGCTGTTCTCCGACACTTCCCCATCTTCACCCACACATCGAAGCCTCCATCCCACCCATCTATCTCCCACAGAGCAGCCAACACAACCTTTATAAGATGCAAACAGGATCATGTCATGTCATTTCTACTTCAGAACTAGCTTTGTGGGCCCGCACAACTCCTCAGACTGTGGTGGAGTCCTGAACCCCACATCAGCCGGCCTGCTCAGGGCCCGGGGCTCTCACACGGCCGGGCCCCGCCACGGCTTTCTCCGTGCTCCTTCCTTGTGTGGAATAGCTTCTCACAGCACCTGTGCCCCAGCACACCTGTGCTCGCCCGTTTCCCGCCTGCCCCCGACATTTGGTTTAAATACCATCTCCTGGGGGGAGCTGTCTGATGGTCTAGAGTAGGTCCCTTGGGTGAGCCCTCGCAGGCACCTCCAACCTCCTTTAATTAGTGGTAAGTGATGCCCACCTTCCAGCAGAAGGTCCAGGAGGACAAGAGCACATCTGGGTTGACTGCTGTGCCCAAAGGCCTGGCACAGGGCTTGGCTGTGAGAGGTTCCACACTCAAGCACAGAGAGGAAGGCAAAAGGAGGGGGGAAGCATTGCACAGAAACTCTTCTTCCACTTGCAGGCTGCCTGCATCTCCCTCTCCCACCTCTCCATCCCGATGAGACTGAAATGGGGGTTGGGGGGTGGGGTGGGAGTAGGGTTTAATAGAAGAGGCAAGAAAATGGAAGGCTGAAGTTGGGAATCATGAGCAAGGAGGTGAACAGTGTTGCTTTAGGCCCTCTCAAAGCAAGCTGCTTGCAGCGACGCTGGTACTCTCCATTGCACCTATTTTTATCCCTAAAATGCCTCCAACCCACACAACATACCGGCAAGAAGGGCAGTCTGGGGAGGGCTGGTGTATTATCTACGCTGCTTTTTTGAACAACAGTCGGGCACGTGACAGCCACACACTTGGGCTTCCTGGTTCGTGACGATCTGAGACTAGCCAGCTCTCGGCGCTCTCCGACTCTACAGCTTTGGCAAGGTGATGGCACAGAGCCCGGGACACCCACTCACCCTGCCTCTGCCATCGTCTCACCCGAAACTGCATGTCCCCACACGCTGCGGCCCAACGGCGAGGTCCTTTACTACGTGTGTTGTACAGAACAATGCAGACCTACATCCCTTAGAGCTAACCAGAAACCCACCACATTCGCGGGAGAACGCGGCCCGTCATGGTGATCACTCGGAGCATGCCACTTAGGAACTGTGCGTGGCGTGTGATGGCCATTGTGCAGGTGTGGATGTGTGCACCTGCAACTCACACCACGTCACCAACAATGGCACTTCACGTCAAAAAAGTAATAATAATTAGGGATGACAGTGACCTTGCCAAAGCAGTTCTGAATAGAGACGTCTGCTCTGGCAGGTCTCCTCTGCACACGTCTCGCAGCTAAGCTGAAACATGTCCCAGCCCAGGTTTCTTCCCACTCACTGTGTTTTGTATATGGAAGATGCCCAGGCTCCTAACTCCCACGACCCCTTTGTTCATCGTGATTTTTTTTTTTCCCTTGAACAAGAGAGTCTCAACAGATTAGGACACAAATAAATGAAATTTCCTATCTGCATATGGCTACATGTGAGTTCATTTGTTCAGAGGAACAGATGCTAAATTATGTCAATTGCTAGTAGCACTTACGATACATAATGAGGGAGCAAGGATCTCTTGAAGCATGCATGGACCCCGTATCACATTGGCCAAAGTTACTGGTGGGTCCTGGCATGTAAGAACCCACCAAAAGAGTGATTCGTGTGCATTGTAAAATTTGCAGCATCTTCAGAACAGAAGTGCATGGTATGTGTGAAAGCTGCTGATTTGGTGGATTCAGTGAACGTGGCTGCAAGGGGCACAGTGCAAGCCCCACAGGACCAGAAACATGTTTATTTGCACAGGCCAAAGTGATACGAGACTGACTGCTAAGTCTCCCATGAAGTTAAAGTCCCCAACCACAGCTGAACAGGTATTTTGGGAAATTAAACTTAGAAATTTGCAGTAACATCGGACTACTTACATCCGTGTCAGGTCCTTTATCTGCACCCGGGCAAGAGAAAGTAACAAATTCATGGCACCTCTTGTGAACCACAAAACAGCAAACTGGTGAAGAGAAAGGAAAACCAAAATTAGAACAGCCTAGATGTCACACACAAGCTTTGTTTTCTTTAATTTTTTAAATATATTCATTACATCATCCTTCATTTTGGTACAATATATGGTTTCCCAGTGAAATTCCCACCACCAATTCACCTGAGCATCATCGCCATAGTCCCTTGTATTTTTCCCACATCTGTTCTGGTCCTTCACCCTCCTCCTCTCCTACAGAATGTCTCTGAGAAACTTTCCTATGCTGCTGGTGGGAATGCAAACTGGTAAAACCACTATAGAAAGCTGTATGGAGATTCCACATGCTACTGAAAATGGAGCTACCGTACGACCCAACAATTCCACTCCTAGGAATCTACCCAAAAGACACAAAAATATTAATCCAAAGGACACCTGTACCCCTGTGTTTATTACAGCACATGTAGTTCCTGAATAGGACAACGTGCAGCCAGAAGTCAATTCAATCTCACTGCAGATACATCTTATCATGAGCCATCGGAAGGCGCTTCATCGAGTCTGGTCAACATCTGCTATGGACTGGGCTTGTAAGAGCCACAAAATGCCAGCACTGATGGGGATACGGGGGCCTGCCTGACTCACAGTTCTGAGTCACTAGAGTGGAGAGAGGCTGTCAAGAGACAGTTTCTCAAGGTACAAACCAGGCATCAAAATGTAGAGTACTCTGCACTGTCCTAACGTGTGTGCACACATGTGTGAGCGTTTGTGACACTATACACTTTAGAACATGAAGAACAAGACTGGTCATAAATAATATCTGGGCATCTCTGATTGTGAACAGCAGACCATCCTCAGCAGAAAACTGCACGTGAGTACCTCATCAAGACAAACCGATCTACAGAAAGTGCTTGGCAAGGAAGAGCAGTCAAGGAAAAGGACACCTTGCGTGTCTGCCTGTTTGTCACACCAAGGACACCACCGGGGGGAGGCAGCCAAAATCCACTCCACAGCAAATATTTCCCAAGCCTAACATGGTTTTGATAAATCATCCTGCAGTTGAATCAATAAAAGAATTGTTAGCTATAGAAATTAATAAAGTAATCCCTTAGGAGATTTTGACAGACAGTATAATGGCAGGGGGAGGGGTGAGACAACCAACATGACCCAGCCAGGCAAGGCACTGGCCCGAGCCCAGCCCTGGAGGGTGTCATCTAGTGACAACACGGACTGGCAACACCATCTGCCCGCAGAGGTGCTGGGCAGAGCTGAGTCTTCACAGTGGCAGGTGGGCAGGCGGGGCCCTCCCTGAAACCAGGCTTGAGTGCTCTTTCTTCTGCTTCCACATTTTACTGCACAGCTCCTGGCCTCCTGCATGGCACTGTGGACAGGTGACAGGACAGGCAAGGACAGACAGCTGGATCACAAATGAAGGACCTGCCTAAGGCTACCTTTCTACTGTGTCAGGGGCCAAGGTTCCAAGCCCCGCTTCCTTTCACTTCCCACCTTTTCCTTCCCTCCTCCGCTTCTGCTCCAGAAGCAGTAAAGACACAATAGCCAAAGCCAAGATTTTGCAACAAGTAACAGGAAAATGGACTGATAACCAAATTATACATTATACATGCCATATATATATAAGAGAAAACAACCATCTCAGCCATATGTACATGTGAAGCCCAGAGGAAGGTACAAACGTGCCACCTCAGAGAAACAGGCTACGAGATGACTGTTTGAGGTGATCCTAATACAGGTGTCCCTGTGAATGTACCATGTTTTAAAGGAGAGAAGACAGGCTTGGCGTTGAGTGAGCAGAGTCGAACAGATCAGGGACCATCCACAGAAAGGTGAGAGCTGAGTATCTCTTAGAGAACATCCCTTAGGAGCCCAGGTGCTCTGGGGAGGGTACTCCTGGCTGCACGCCACAGCGAACTCTGTGCACAATCGAGGTGGCGGAGGTGAACGAGGGGGATCCCCAGGCAGCACTTAGCTCCACAAGCCCTCAGAGCAACGGCCTTTCCACTGAGAGCATCTCCACTGCAGAACTCTCTAAAAATGGCTATTAGGGCAGCCCTGTGATGGCACAAATTAATCTCACCTGCTGGCTCTCCTCAGTCACAAAGTCATCTTTCACTCACCAGGATCAGAAAGATAAATCACTGAAGAAAAAGTGTCACAGAAGCATGTTCCTCATCTAGTTACTACAGATATTCTGAAGGGGAAGTCAGTGTTGATTCCCAACTTCATCGCTCAAACATTTGGGTGTTTCAGCTTTTTTTAGATCACCTATCCATTCAGGGGAACACTGCAGAGAAATCCTGCCTTCATCCAACCCCTAGGGAAGGAGAGTCAGCGTCGGGTACTTGGGTCCTTACCACCCCCATTTGCTCATCGATGCAATGGCACGTGGTCAGCTGCCTTTCTCCCGAATGTCTTGAACAGTCTCATAGGCAATATTATACTAAAAAGAAAGAGTCTTGCACCATATAGTATAATTTTCAGGGACAGCCAAAAGCTCCACAGACCAACCTTCCTCCCAACCTGCCTGACCCCAGGCTCACAGGGAGGTCCCACACCTGGAAGTGACTGGACTCACCCACCGCCAGCAAGAAGGGCCCCGTGAGCCCAGAGAGCCCCTCTATGCTAGTGCTGGAGGTCTGGCCCAGAGACTCAGAGCCAACACCAGGATCTTCCCAGGAAGATGGAGCTTTTGCCTGGGAGCCTCTGACTTAGGAGGGAGCCAGATGACCCCAACACTCGCCCCAATGAGGGGCACGGGGAGAGGAGCTGGCTCTGGTTAGGTCAGGCGGCGGCAGCATCTGCCTGGGAAAGAACACTAAGCAGAGGCCAGAGATTCCAGAACCACTGGCCATGACCTCTGGTTTCAAATTCCGAACTAAATTAGGCAGTGCATAGTTTGTAAGATAATATAATGCAAATATTTGAGACGTCTTGCTAGTGTCGTTGAAGGAGGAGAAGACTGGTTGGGTAAACGAGAGAACGCCATCTGGCCAGCCAGGAGACGGACTGCACAGACGGACTTGTCCTGGGGCTGACACAGCTGATATTTTATTATCTCTTTTATTTGGGTTTCTCAAAGTCTTCTTCGACCATGTGATGTGGGACAAGGGGGGTTGGGGAGGGTGGGGACGGTGGTACAAGTCAGGGCATATGCCTGGGAGCCACATCTGCCCGATGCTGGCAATGAAAGAAGTGGAGACGCCAAGCCCCAGATACTCCTGGAACTGGCTGCGGGTCCTTAAGAAGCCTCGGCCGGGCCCTCCCTGGGGCACAGCGGGTTAAAGCACAGCACCAAGAAGCTCAAGCCACTTCCTCATGAGATCGATCCCCGCCTGCACTGGAGGTGACCACATGGCG